ACACAAAAAAAACAACCTTGAGTCGCAAAAACCAGCTTCGCTCAGCAAAATAACACTGTCTGGAATGTGGGGAGATAAGGCAAATAAGGCAAATGGACTATCCTCGACAGGACTATTAAGGTCTACTGATAGCTCCTCTGCGATTTGCAGGAACTACAAGTATTATTAATTATTATTATTAAAACAGCTTACCTTATTTGTATTTCCAGGAGTTTTTAGCCTCAACTTCACACTCAAATCAAAGTTTGAACATCCAACAAATCAAATTGACATCCAACAAATTGACATCAAATTTTTTGAAATAAACTAATCAATTTCAATTTTGTTTTCAAAACCTTCCGATGTTTATTGCAAGTAAAAGGTAATTTTTTTTTGGCTTCACCCACTTATTGGATTGATTAACTTTGTGTTTGAGACGGACAAACCGCTTGTAATACCTTTTGAAAAAAAAACTGCTTTTTTGCACACATAACAGAATCAAAAAATGCCAGAAAGGTGGTTTTAATGCCCCATACTTTCATTAAACATGATGTCAAGTCTTACAACAGTTTTTTCAAACTCAGTGATTTCAATCATTCAGCCTCATAGAAAACTACATAAGAACTTTTAGGCTATAAATTCGAAATCTATCTGGTTAAAAAAACACCCACTCACACTTTTTGTCACGTAAAGTCAAAAACTGAAAAAAAAACATCTTTGTATCAGACCTTAATTGTTTTTTAGTCAAAGCAATAGTCATAACGAAAAATATACAAAGTTTGCTTTTTTGTATGACTGGGGTTTGAAGATTTTTGTGACATTTTCATAATAGTATTATTTTGAGCTAAAAAGCTGAAATGATATTTCCTATAGTTTTTTTGATTGAATTGTAAAGCACTGAAGTTGGCCGTTTTGGGATAATTAAGGCGCGATACGCTTCATGCTTTTAACCAATTAGCGAGGAAACAATCTAGATCAGATGTCAAAACAACTATTTTGTGGAGTGCCGTTGAATCCAATATTTGTCTTTGTAAGAAAATATCACATTGAAAATTACATTGCTCGTAGAGAGAATTTTAAAACAAAACAAGACTGCTCGTATCAGCCCTGAAAATTCCGACTGCCTTTTAAGGTCTATGGAGCATTAATAAGATGAAAAATTTCAATGTAAAAAAAAATTTAAAAAAATTTTTGAAAAAATTCTGGATTTTTTTTTTTAAAAACATCCCCCCACGCGTCATATTAAGTACAAAGTGATAGATTTTGCGCCTATTAACAAATCAATTATGGCATATAAGCTTCCTTGAACCAATTTCGAACAATTTCTAAGAGGGATTAAATCTCGCTTACGCGTTAATAGCGCAAAATTTATCGCGCGTTAATTGTCCCAAATTGGCAAAAATGGCAATCTTTAAACCCCCATAACTTTACGAAAAATGATCACAGGTAAAATATCTTTTCAAATTCAAGCTCAGGACAACAATAGCTTTCGAATGATATAAAAAATTTTGTCTGAAGAAAAGTCGAAATTTGTCTGAAGAAAAAAAAACCCACCCCGAGCACAAATATGCCGTTACTTTCATATCGAAAGTCGGAACAAAAAGAAAAATTTCCTTTTTGAAAACCTGTATAATTTTTAGAGACAATGCAGAACAGCGACAACATTCAAAGTATTGCCCTGATATGCAGATTTTTACTGCTATCTCAAAAATTTTAATAATTGTTTCAAAATAATAAACAGTGAAAGATAGTCGTTTGTTTTCGCGTCCAGTTTCTGTTTTGAAAGTTTTCAAAAAAACAAATTAAATTCTTAGCGGATTAAGCATTAAAAAGGCCAAACAAATGATAATTAGTATTGCGATAACAAATACTCTGATAACAAATAACAAATAGATATTCTGATAAGTACTGTTCTAATTTGGTTTAATTTGTTGGAAAAATTTTCAAACCAAAATAACATTTTTTTTCGATTTGTCCCGCACACTCTAATTGAAGAATATTCTAATGTACACCACAAAGTGATGTATTTAGCGTCCTGTATCTTGATAATATGACCAAATTATTTGCCTCAACTTAATTTGAAACGCATTATTCCGCCTCAATGCGTGATATAAGAGTACAATATAATGCGCGTTAACTATCTCAAATTGCTTTCATTACTTTTTCAATTCCCCATTACTTTAAAAAACAATGAACACAATTAGAACATTTTCTCAAACTTGAGCTGAGGACAACAATGTCTTACATGTGGTGCACAAAAAATTTCCGTCAAAAATGCATAGTTAAGAAGTCGAAAACTGATTGAATAAAGAAAAACAACCCAAGCATAAAAAATCCGCACTTTTTTGAAGGTCCGAACAAAAACGCTACAAAAAACAATCACAGGTTAATTTTTTTAAATCCTGTGCTCAACGATATATTTTAGATGATTGAACTCTAATTAATCATTTGAACTCCAATCAACAATATCTTCTAAATAGTCTAAGCAAACTGTCAAAAGTGTTTAGTTTAAAAGGTCAAAAATTGACTGAACAACCACCTCAAGCATATATTTTACGTCATTTTCTCTACCCATTAGACCACCGGGTGTTTAACAGCCGTCTCGAAACTTAAATCGAAAACTATTCAATGAAAAACTAATGCCGCTGAGATCAGTTTTTTATTGCAATTTTCGCTTTCCTAAACTTTTGAACTTAGACTCGAATTTAATATACTTAAAAATTATCACCTTCAAATTGAGATATTCAATAAAGTTGTCTTGCTTTTTTAAACAGAATATTTACAGTGTTTTGTGTGGTTTGAGGTGAACTAAAACTTAGACCAAACAAATCTTGTAGTAATTCCCCAAAATCAGACAAGAACGCTGTAAAATCTTGATTTATTGAGTAAAGACTAGAGTTTAATATATTGCTAAGTATGCTTTTATCTTATGTTTGAGACCAATTTGATATTTTGCTGGCACCAAGTCGATCACGCATAGATCAGAGCAGAGCTGTCCAGGTTTGGTCCACGCCAAAATGAGACCTAACAAACTTACTTCCATTTTTTTTAGCAATGGTCAAAAAAAAATCAGGAAAGATTGATCAAATAATATCTGACATCTTAGTAACAGGCATCTGCCTTCCCCCGTACGATGGTTCTTAGCAACAGATTACCATCGCCGTAATACAGAAATCAACAATTAAGCATGCAGATATGGTTTCTGTATTGTGTATAAAATCCTTTTGCAAAAGGGGTTAGTTAATAAAAAGTCGGAACACAAAACCCAGTATCAGTTTTAAAAAAATAGCGGAAAAAGAGCGATCTCTTAACATACCTAAAAATAATAACATCAACAAAAACTAATTAATTGTCATCTCACGTTCTTCATGACCTTCTAATTTCATACTTTAATATCGGATTGAAACCGGTATTAAAGTTCTCACTTCAGGTATTCGACCCCCTGCCGACACAAAGGATCCACCTTTGGTACTATTTTAAGACATCAAATTTTGGCTCACCAACCCTAAAGTTTTTCTAAAGGCGCCTTTGGCGCTAACATGTGCAAAAAATTTCCGTCAAAATTTGAGGGAAAGAAAGCGCGCGCCAAAAAAACGCAATTTTCTGGTCTACATTTTCCAAAATATGACTAAAAACACCTTTTTTGGCCTGTGTTTTCAAATATTTGCATTTGCATATTTTTGTAGTGATATAGAAGTCAGAATGTCAATTGGGTTGACCTGAAAAAATTGTTCGACCTAAAAAAAGGCCAACCAAATTTCTTTTTAGAAAATCCGTTCCTCTCCCGCTAAAATCCAAGATCCGCCCCTGAGCCAAATAATTTTCTTTCAATTAACTTTATTTTCACATTTGAATAATTTCATGGCGCAGTCATTAAGACCTGGCTCGAACATTTCTTTGAGTTGAACGTTGGATTAAGAATCTTTTCTTGGCGTAGTCATCAAGATCTGGTTCAGGAAGAAAATCTATTAGGTAATGCAGCCTTTTTGTAAAGCAAATCCATTAGATAGTGGAGGAAAATGTATTAAAGATTACAGTCTTTTGGTCTATTGTTTTGGGTCTATTGTAATACGATGAAACTTGAAATTATAGAATTGTGAACCGCTGGCTTTATAGTAGCAACTTTGTTGAGCCGCACTTGATGAAAAAAATGAAGTTGCGAGTTTCCAAGAAATCTAGTAGCATGTGGTATTTCGCGCTCAATTAGTAACTCAAGTGCTTCCAGCAAAACTGGATAACGGGCAAGACGCTGCACAGCTCCTTTTTTTAGTTCCCGGGTCGAGGTTCGCAACTCATGTCCAGAATTTTGCGACCAAATTTAAGCATGTCTAGACTTTCACAACCGGAACTTGGCATTTTCAGAGTTTCGCGACCGAAATGATCCATCGCGACTTTCGCGACCGAGATACTGATGGCGCGACCCGAGTTTTGCTTCCCATTTTTAGAATATGCAGACTTGTGTGACCAAATTTTGTCTTTTCCAGACTGATGATGGCTTTCATTAAAAATAATGAAATCATCATGGAGTGTAATAACTACATAAATGATAGATTCTTCAGCCCTATTTGAGTTATTTTTTTAATAAGGAGATTTAACGTAATTGAGTAAATTCCCCTAAATTGTGTTAGCACGCTTGCTTTTGCTGTCTGTTTCCTTTTTAAATATTCAGGTAATTTTCTGGATCTTGTCAACTATCTAGGGTACCTTGTAACAATTTTCCTCCCCTATAAAGAAAGAATTCAACTGTTAAGCATATACCAATGATGCACATTGCAATAGGGGGGAGGGGGATATTTACCAATTTGGCATATTTAGAAATTTAAGACACTATTGGACCAACCAGATCATGCGTGGATAATTAGAATTGCCCCCCCCCCCCCCCCCCCCGCTGAATCCCCTCCCCTGAATTATACGTTAAGGGATCTGGGAGCGTGTATAAATGAATTTCCTGTTGTTTTCACTCTCCTCCGGTACATCGATGTCTACAGCTGAGATCGTTAAGCCAGTGTTTTTTTCTTTAGCTTCATTGGTTCATCTCAAAAGAAGACCTGGATAGAAATGGGAGAGTTGGAACTTATCGCGAGTCAAACAAAACAGCGCAACCTAGTAAGAAAGAATAAACTTAGTTTAACAGGTGAATCGGATAATCACGTTTTGTGCCACACTGAGCAATTGAAGACCAACCCTCAAACCATAATCATCTTAAATTGAATTTTATCCGATTTCGCCCATTATTTATCTCTTTTGTTTTCAGATAATTTCCAAAACAGCATTGAAGATTCAATTCGAACAGTCAACAAAGAGCAGTTCGGAGAGCCAGAGATTCGAAAAGCCGACAATGGCAACAGAAGTCTTGAGGCTGCTCTCACACGATTGGCTGACTCAATAGAGCAATCAAATACGCCTGTCGTTCGCACAGATTGGATGCGATTGGCTCAGTTCGTTGACAAGGCAATGGCAATAGCCTACATTTTGATATATTTAATAACACTGGTTTACCTGGTTATTGCCTTATCGTACAGAAAAATAGAGTGACCTATCTAATTGCGTGATTTTGTATTAGAGATGGCAGAACCACTCAACAACTGACTTAAAGACTATGACAAAGACTGACTTATCTGACTGTGTGCTTTAATTTTTTCCCCTACAAAATCAGTTCCGTTTTCAATCGCCACTCAATCTATTAAATTTAAGTCTAAGTGTAGCGCTCCAATAATGTTCAAGAGTTCAAAATTCTTTGCACAAAAAAACTAAAACTTCCTTTAGCTCCTGTCCTATATGATTTTGGTTTTTAAAATTATAGTTACTATAAAAAACTTGATGTCAAAAAATTTTTCAAAAATTTAAAACACTGACATTGTAAACCGAATACGTCAAAGTTCCAAATTGAAACCCGAAGAGTTTGCTTAAGTCAGGGCAAAAAACGAATCTTCCGATTGCTCTACGTGAAAGTTTTTTGCTTGCTCTACGTGAAATTTTTTTGAATTTTTTTTATTTTTACTTAAATTTTTCCCCCATAATCACCTTCGAGTACAAAGAAATAAACTAAAAATCTAATAAAAATTTATATGAATCAAGTATGGTTCCTTTTTTTAACTCTTCCTCCACAAGAAGTGGCGAGAACAAAGTTATAAGTTGCCATCTAGTAACAAGTTAATGAGATCAGTTAAATTGCCTCTAGCCATTTTTGATAGATGACATCACGCTAGCCTAACAAAAAACTGTCAATAAGCGCGCGAAAATTATCCCAAGTTACGCAAATGGTTTTTGAAAACCTCATATTTTTAAACAAAATTGATCGCAGCTAAAATTTCCTTTTACTTTTGAGTTCAAAGTATCATTATCTTCAGATGGCATAACCAAAAGTCAGAAATAAGCTGAAATAAAAAGGCATGTCAATTAGTCAGAATAGTTGGCTAGCAGAAGAAAAATAATTTGTTATGTGTTCTCTAAGGTTTGTCTGGGGAAAAACTGAAATCATTTTTGGTTTCACAAACATGAAGGTAATTCTTTAGTCTTCAAGCGCTGTTCATGTCAAAGGTTTTTATTTGGATTAAAATGTCAGGAAAACCAATTCATCGAAGGCAAATCTTTGACCAAAAATTTTTTTTGGCGCGCACTCACCCCTCAAAATTAGTTTGTATTGGCGCCAAAGGCGCCCTTAGAAATTTTTTAGGGTCCGTAACCAAATATGGATATCTCAAAAATATTACAAAGGGTGGTATATATATGAAGTACTCAAGAGATTATTTGTTTCATGCAAAAACAAAAAAAAATTGAAACTTTCTACACGCGAAATTTACTAATAAGCTTCTTATGATGTGACTTGTTTTGTAAACATTGGTCTTTAAGAATTTTCTTCATTGGAATCAGTAAATCAATTAACAAAATAACTTTAGTATGAATTATCTCGTAAGCTGTGAATTTCAAACAATCATGTTTGAAAATTATGTGCCTAGCCGTAGAAAACGCCTGAAAATATCTTTACTGCTCTTTCTCGAGGTAATCTGGAAATAATATTTCTCCAATTTTAATTTCAATACATTGAAGTTATTTTGGTTTCACCATATTGCAGCCTTAGGCAAAGCAAATTCGATGAATTATGCCGCTACCTTCAGTACTGAAAACAAAATTAACAACGCTTTTTGTTCCGACTTTCGAAGAAAACGGAATATTTATGCTCGGTGATGCAGTTTTTTTTCAGTCAATTTTCACCGATCGAAATAATACTTTTCTACAAAATTTTTTTTATTCCCCATTGAAGATATCGACTTCCTGAGCACAAAAAAAAAGATATTTCACCGCAGATTATTTTTTGTACAGTTCTGGGTATTTGAAAATTGCCAAAATTTCCATGTTCTGGACTAAATTATGCGCACTTTGATGAGTTTATTCATAATGCTGAGAGCGTAACGCGAATCATTTATGCGTGGCCAATTATCCCGCACAAAAAAATCGTTCCATATGAGCTTGAGGCTTGCTAAATGGTCGTACTAATTTTGTACTACACAAAAAATTACACTTAAATATTGTCCAGAATGTATAGGTTTTAAATACTTTTTTTCCACAAAAACCATTCGATATGAATTAGGGGACAGTCGGAACATTATGGGCTTCGCCTTGATATACAAGCAGTCTTGTTTCACTTCAAACCGCAGCTGCTAATTTCTCGGCCAAAACATGTTTGTGGTTTTTGTGGCCTCAAAATAATCTCCTCCCAGCCAAATAAAAAAACGAAGAAAGAAAAAATAAATGTCAAAACTGGATCATACGTCTTATAGATTTTTGATGGGTAGTAGATCTCTTCGCAAAAAGTTACAATTGTATCATCAAAACAACAGAAAGCAAATTTCTGGTCAAAATTGGTCACGGTTAGGATCTCTTTTGTTCCATGTAAGGTGCTGAATGAGCACAATTTTCGAAAAAAAAATTGGCCGAACTTTTGGTTCCCAATGTTTTACTATGGAGCTGAAAGCGCCAATTTTTTTCATCCATAAAGGGCTCAATCAGTTTCCTAATTTTAGTTTAAATAGACAGATCAAAAAACAATATTTTTAAGGATTGGTAGAACAGAGGAAGTTCAGAGGTCTTGAGTACTCAAGGAGTCGGTTCGAGTTTCTCGAGGAGTTTGTTTTCGTAGAAAAGGAGATGAATGAGTCCAGCTTTCTAATTTGGCTCCCTTTGGTTGTCTTGTTCCTTGAAATTTAGGAGACCAATCGTATCAAAAGTTGGGCTCTTTTTATGTAAGACCTAAGAACTGGTTTCACGAAGTTACAAGTACGAAAAGCTGCATGGTCATTTGAGAGTAGCCTGTCTTGCTATTAGCCTGTCGCCGCCGATAGAAATAAGAATCTCTGAACGGTTTTTGAGCTGTTTCAAAAATAAACTTTTCGAAAAACGTTCAAATAATTGTGAAGAACGGCTCAAAAACCGCCCAAACAGCTCATTTTGGAGCAAGAGTTTGAGCGCAAACGCCCAAAACTCCGCTCAAACCGCTCACATTTAGATTCAAATTAGGCAAAAAATCTTGACTCTGGACGCACGATCAACAGCTTGATGGGAGTGTGATCCGGCCCGATACAAAGCTACCCCTCACATCAAATGCTCTATGGTCATACTTAATTATGCAAATATTATAACTTTGACCAACGTCTAATGGTCCGCTGCGCTAGTCGCAGTAGTAATAGAATATTGTTGTTCAGACAGCTATTTATGGTTCAGAGAGCTATATTGTGGTTATGAAACAGCTAGTAATTGTTTACATGCGCATCGTATATGTTAGTTGATTGAAAACTCTTCTTGAATGCATCAGATGACGCATCAGTAGGACTCGGCAAACTCAAATAACATTAAATTTGGAAAAAGAAATGCCCGATTTGAAGCGTTCGACTTATGTTTCGACCAACTTGACCAAAAATGGCTATGTTTCGACCGACTGGACTAAAAGAAAATTGTGTTCAACTGTGTTCGACGCAAACCAGCTATGTTTCGACCTAATCGACTGAAAGCGACTATGTTTCGACCGATTCGACCGAACGAAAACGTTTTTGACTGTGTTCGACTCAAGTCAGCTATGTTCGACCGACTCGACTAACAAAAAATGTTCGAGTGTTCGACACAAGCCAGCTATGTTTCGACGAGCTCGACAAGGCAATTTGTATCTGTATTAAGGTTATGCAAGCAGAAAAAAACCGACAACGATTCCATTACTTTAATTGCTCGACTTTGTTTCGATCAAGTTTTTTTTCTATGTTTCTATCATGTTTTCCACCATATTTTGAGTTAATGTTCGATTTAGTGTTCGACTATGTTCTGACTTTGTGTTCAGCTATGTCCCGACTATACTTTGACTCTGTGTTCAACTATGTTTCGACTTCCTGTTCGGCTATGTACTGACTATAACTCGACTCTGTGTTCAAATATGTTTAGACTTTGCGTTCGACTTTTTGTTCGAATTTGTTTCGAATCAGTGTTTGACTATGTTTCGACTTTGCGTTCGATATGTTTCCCTATTTGGCTTTGACTATATTTCGACTTTCGGTTCGACTATTTTTCGATTTGTGTTCGACTTTCTTCGATTTTGTGTTCGACTACGTTTCGACTTTGTGTTTGACTAAATTTCGACGTGGAGTTTGACTATGTGCTCGACTATGTTTCGTGCATGATATCGATTGTTTCGAAATATTGTTCGACCAAACATTATTATAATGTTTTAGAAACAAGTATAATCGTTCATCCTAAGAAAATTAACTTAATTCAGCGCCAAAAAAAAACAGATTATTTATTTTTTTCGAAAAAATAATTGATTATAATGGCAATATAATTTATTTCGTTGTCCTAATTTTATATCTGTTATAGTTTTTATTGGGTTTTAGTCGGTCTGAGAAATTAATAAGAATCAATTAAAATTCATAAGCGCTCGGTATGGGTACCTTGAGGTCAACAAAAACAATTTGTGTGCACGTAACAAACATTAACTTGTCATGTTCATTTGTTCAACGTTTTTTTTTGCGCATAATTTACGGAAGAGTTTTGCACGTTCAGGTTATATTGTTTTATCAAAGGCTGACAATTTTCTTGTTGCTGAAGGCTAGGCAAATTGTAAGGCCCAAATGTTAGGCTGTGGCTATGAGCTATGATGCCAGCACGGGAGAGTAGGAGGACGGACGACAGCGAAAAGAAGGGTAGGATAACGAATGCTTCATATCTTACACTTGAAATTACCAACCATTTGCTGGTGTGTTGCTAGACTCTTTCTCTTGGGTTTCAAGTTTGACCTCCAATTATCAATAATCAAAGCCTTCAAGTTTACGAATTATGAAATATTTTGTCGTTTCTTAAAAAATTCAAAATAAACAGACTGAAGCTACTCTCAGGCTTTTCAAATCTCCCCTCCTAGTGCAAATGCGGAAACCAGTTAGCTTTCCTAATGTTTTAGATATGTCATTTTTTTCCAAAAATTGCGACTAGTTTGATTTTTCAATCTTTTTTTTCTTGGTGCTCTGAAAAAAACTGTTTTTTTCATAAATTTGAATAAATAACCTGAAAAGTCTCCTTTAAAATTTAGCTTATAATTTTTATCATTTTTTTTGCCCTCAGAGCAGTCACAGAAATTTGTGACCCCAGTATATTGAAGTTTTTCCATAGAACTTGCTTTTTAAACCAATACTCTATACTTGATCAACTCAAAATATCGAGAGTACC